ATCATTATTATTATTATTATTATTATTATTATTATTATTATTATTATTATTATTATTGTTGTTATTATTATTATTATTATTATTATTATTTCATCATTTATTATTATCATTATTATTATTATCATTATTGTTATTATTATTATTGTTATTATTATTTTATTATTAATATTATTATTTATTATTAATATTATTATTTTATTATATTATTATTATTATTATTATTATTAATAATATTCTTATTTTATTATTATTATTAATGTTGTTGTTGTTATTGTTATTATTATTATCATTATTATTATTATTGTTGTTGTTGTTGTTTTTGTTATTATTATTATTATTATTATTATCATTATTATTATCATTATTATTATTATTATTATTATTATTATCATTATTATTATTATTATCATTATTGTTATTATTATTGTTATTATTATTATTATTATTATTGTTGTTGTTGTTGTTGTTGTTGTTGTTGTTATTATTATTATTATTAAATATCATTTGTGCTATTGTTATTATTATTATTTTTCTACCCATTTTCAGTAAGCAAGATTCATTTTTCATTTCATGAAGTACATGTATATTGAATGATCTGATATTTGTGCTGGAAAACAAGACAATAATTTATTAGATTTGTTTGTTTTGGATGTCATGCTTATTTCAGTTCGTTTAATGATTGATGATGTTGCAGAATTCGTTAGATATGAAAAAAAGTTTAATTCGACTACAAGCGCAACTCTTCTCAGTTTGATCAGTGTGTCGATGCAGTGACTGTATGCATATTACCATATGAAGAATCTCAGAGACCCATGACCCATTTTACAGCGTTCACCATAATGTGACGCATTTTAGAGCGGAGCAAAATTCATAAAGTAGGGCAGGACATCATTTTGCGCTTATGTTCCGCATGCATTTTTTCTTGCTGCGCTGTTGATTGTGTGTCCGTGTTTGAGCGGTTGAATGTGGTGTCGGTGTTGTCAGCGGGGGTCTGTGGAGCCGTGTGGTCCTCTCAGCGGGCGTGGACCCTCCGGCCGACACCAGCGCTCATATTTGGGAGTGAAAGAGCAGGTTTGTGTGGTAACAGTCCTTCTCTCACCGGGGGTCTCGAGCGAGAGTCACACTAACATTCAGATCCTCACTAACACCGCTCTGTTAACTGTGAAATGACTGCGAGCTGGTAAATGATGAAATATTCTTGCTTAACATGTTCACTGAAAGAAGACCTGCTATGCAGAAAATAACTTTGTAAGGGGTTTAAACACAGTTGTGTGTCAGCAGTGTGAGAATATAACCAGATCCTAATGGTCAACATCAATTAATTGTGTTTGTTATAGTCAGACTTGATCAAGACAGTCTGCAGAAACACTTTGATTGACATTCTTACATTGTATGTGTCATCAGAGGAGAAAGCCCCGCCCATTAGTGCCCATCTCATTACCATAAACAGCATCCCTCTAGGCATCTGTAGCTCCACCCTCTCTTGAAAAGAGCACAATCTCATTTGCATTTAAAGTGACAGTCAACAAAACACCACAATTAGGATCAAAGACTAAAAGGGGAATAATTAGTGGTTCATCTCGCTGTGGTGACCCCTCGGTAAATCAGGAAGCCGAAGGAAAATGAATGAATGATCTTTTAGTCTTTGTTTCACTTGCATAGGCTCATGGCCTGTTTTACTGCACTGATGCTCTCCTTCATTGACTTCCATTGAGTCTGGAGCAGTGAAATGTCTGTATTTTTAGATCTCCAGCTCACTGTGAGACTGGACTGAACCCACAGCACCTCAATACTGTCACATTGAGAAACACACGGCTGTTTAATTAACCCAATGAGACGAGCGACATCTAGAAATAAAGACACAGCTCCGTCTATTAGAGCATGTCTATTATTCAGCACACACACCTGATTCTGCCGTGGTATGATTAGCATGTTGAGATAATGTCCTGTTTATTGCCTTTTATTTGTCACTTGCACATTTTTCTCAAAGTGAAGACTAAGCAGAAGCTCTGTTACGGCCCATAAAGTCCATTCGAGCATTATGATTATATTGCAGAAAATGTAATATTAGCCTTTTACTGTCAGGATCACGAGCACTTTACCGCGGTGAAGTCTTAACGGAGAGTGTGAGGCCTCATTTACAGTGTGAGTTTGGCAGATGCTTTTATTCGAGATGGCTTTAATTGCTTTGAAGGTTTACGTTTGGTAATTTTGATGAATTTTCTGCTGATATTTGCGTCCTATTTGGGAGAGTAATATTAAAGCTGTTTTAGTTTCTCAAAGCTGACACGAGCTTGTGGTGAAGAAGCTTATTTAGTCATTCATTTATATTTAAAAGACAGTGTAAAGCATTAAGATTGTTCAATAATGTTTTAAAATAAGGTTTAATTTGATGATTTTCATTAATTAAAGCATGATACAGAATATTACCTGTGTTTCTTCACATTTATGACAACATATTTATATAATGTTTACATTGAAAAACAATAGAAAAGTAGTGTGTTGGAAAGGAAGAATGCATCCTGTGTGAACAGACCCTTAGACCTGTAGTGTTGGAGGAACGTGAGGATTTCTCCACTCACTCTCAGCATATGTGCACTGGTGTGTTTGAGCTGATCTGGAATCAGATGCTCCGCTGACGAACATCTCACTGAAATGAAAGCAGCAGAGACACTGTCAGGAGCAGTGCATCCCGGGAGACGCTCCTGACGGCTGATCTGACTCGCACTGCATCTGATCCACTCTTACACACGATGGGAAAAGCAGGAGGCAGGAGGATTTCACTGCTGACATGTTTATCTTGTTGTCAATTCATGTTGTCGTTATGAATTTAGCCTAAAATTTTCAGTTATTGGGTGGCACAGTGGCTCAATGGTTGGCACTGTCATATATATATATATATATATATATATATATATATATATATATATAT